TTCGTAAGTGAGGAGACTGCGGTGAGAAATAGTCTTTACACAAAGGGGTTTTTAGTGAAAAATGGGGCATTAGTCTCAGGAAACTCTGGATGACCGAGGGGTGTCATGGAAAGCAGTTTGAAAACCATAGTCTACTGTGTCCCAGACCCGGTGGCTTAAAACTCATGCCGGGCGCGTGTGCGTGCATGCCTATGATCCCGAGACGAGAATGGAGGAGAAGGGATTGCGGTATGGCCATCCCCCCGGGGGAGGGGGGTTGATTTCTGTCTCTCTGTCTCTCTCTGTCTGGCGAGCACAAGCGCCCTATAGCAAAAACCTCTCAAAAAAAAAAAAAAGTATGTCTTGGGCTAGGAGATAGCGTAATGGTTACATCACTGGACTCCCACATAGTTGACCGTGGTTCGAGTCCTGACCTGGCAACTTAAAACTCAGGGTGTGTATGCATGCTTGCCCAAAATCCTGAGGGGAGAATGAAGGAGAATTGATTGCGATGTGGCCATTTCTCCTGGGGGTTGATTCTTGCTTTCCGTCTCTTTCTGTCTCCCGGTGAGTGCAAGTTCCCTATAGCAAAACTCTCTTTCTCCAAACAAACAAACAAAAATACAAAAATACCCCCAAAAAACAAAAAAACCTGTGTCTTAATTTAATGCTTTCAGATATTTGTAGTTTTATAAAAATAAGCACAGATACTTTAATTTTTGATTTATTAAATGTTTTTGTAATAAAAACAGAAAAACTACTACAAGCTCTGGTTTGATTGTTTTGTTTCCTGTACATGGAATTCTTTAAGATGCAATTGTCTTTTGGTTGATCATCATAAAGGGTGTGTGTGTCCTTGAGAGTAGAGATTTGCTTTTTAGAATCTGACACTTCCTTCCTGTTGGCTGTGTTCATGGTGTTGGGGAATTAGCCACAGAATCTTGGACTTTGGCTCAGACAGGTCTGGGTTTGGGTGCCAGTTGTGTCCTCCACCTTGCTCCAGAGAAGTGATGCCCAGGAGACTTAGATTCATCCTAGTAATGTGGTGGTGGTGGAGGAACTTGTACTACAGGTGTTCTTTGTTTTGTTTTAAATAAGTGGCTTAAAACTCATGCCGGGCTGTAGGGCACATGTATGTGCTCACCAGAGAGAGAGAGAGAGAAAGAGAGAGAGAGAGAGAAAGAGAAAGAGAGAGAAAGAGAGAAAGAGAGAAAGAGAAAGAAAAAGAAAGGGAGAAAGAAAGAGAGCGAGAAAGCAAGTTGCCAGGTCTAGAACTTGAACTGTGGTCGGCTCTCCAGTGCTTCAACCATCATGCCATTGGCTGACCTCCCCTGGCCCTTTATAAAAAAAATAATTTTATAATCCTGTCTTGCCAAAGGGCATTTTTGTATGCTCACATATCCATTTGCACATGAGGAAGAAAGAAAGAACTCCTTAATGCCCAGTGGGGCATGATCATAGCTCCATCTTCTTTTCTCCATTTGTCCATCCTAGGAAGATTTCATACATGTTTTTCAGCCTCTAGGGCTGGGATTGGGATTTGGATCCTATGTACACAGTTTAACCACTGTGCTCTGGGGCCTGCCTGTACTACAGGCTCTTAGCACATGTTTTGATGTGTTACAGTGTTCAATAAATGGAAGCTATAATGTGCTCTAATCATATTTATTGGTTAGATTTTTTTCCGCTCAGCTTTATGACCCTTCAGTAACTGCTGAGGGGACATCATGCATACAAGCTTATTTCAGTAAAAAACGGGAGAGTCAATTAAGTGTTGTTATCTATTAAAAACTGTTCTTGGGGACTTGGGCTTTTTCTTTCCAGGGGATGATTATGAGCAAAAGCGCAACAACAAGTGAATATAAGTAAAGGAGCTGGAGCCAAAATGATTTACCCCAGCCTCACTTGGGGCAAGGTGCAGAGGGCAGCCCTAATTTAGGACTCATCTGCCTGAGATTGATGTGGCCATAGATGTCTCAGGGAGGGAGAAAGGCGAGTCCACAGGAGGTACGACAGCACCAGTATTGAGAGCAGCAGAGGGACTCCTGGTATGCCTGAGACAGCTTGGTGACAGGTCTGGGCTTGTGACACGAGGACAAGAAAGTTCCTGAGCACATTACTGATGGCCCCAGGGCTGCCTAAAGGAAATGGGGGAGATTTTGGGAGGGTAATCCGAGGGGTTACTTTCTGAGAAGCGCTGGTAGACAAGTAAATGGACTGAGCATATCTTGAAATAAGAAATATGAAGAGGATAATTTATAGAGAAAACCTGAATCAGACAAATGGATCTAGTACATTTTAAAATATATAGCTATAAAGATTGACAGCTTAAAAATGTCAAGATAATATTTAATTCAAGATAGTGTTTATATCACAAATAATAGGCTAACTAGGCTAACACCATAAGTCTTTTTTTTTTTTTTTTAAGGAAAATTACCCTTTTTTTTTGTTGAGAGATTTTTTGCTATACAGCGCGTGCGCTCGCCAGACAGACAGAGAGAGACATAGAGATAGAAAGCGAGAAATCACCCCCCAGGGGGGATGATCATGCCGCAATCCCTTCTCCTCCATTCTCCTCTCGGGATCTTGGGCACACACGCACACGCGCCCAGCGTGAGTTTTAAGCCACCAGGTCCGGAATGCGAACCGTGGTCGACTACGTGGGAGTCCAGCGACATAGCCATTACGCTAACTGCTGGTTCCCAGAAAATTATCCTTCTTAAAAAGTACTTTGAAGGGCTCAGTTTTCTTTACCCTTCAAAATAGATCTTAAAGAAAAAAAAAACATAAGGCTGGCCCTGTGTCCTGGTAGTTAGGAGAGCTGGATCACCCATGCAGTTCAAATTTGGCCCTACTGGCTTAAAAAGCATGTATGTGCACTGGGTATGTGCACACTGGTTGTGTGTGAATACGTGCTCAAAATGTTGAGAGGAGACTTTAGGACAAAGGATTATGGGATGGTCATCCCCTTTGTAGGGCGACTGATCATTTTATCTCTCTTTCTGTCTCTGATGAACTCATGCACCCTGTAGCAAAAAACAAACAACAAACACGTGTATTTGTGCCTCCAATCCTGACAGGATGGAGAAGGGATTGTGGAGTGACCACACTGCTCTGGAGTGTGCTTGTTCCTTCCTGGTGCTCTGTCTGTCTCTGGCAGTCAGAATTAGAGTCATCTTGCCTTTTCCCTCCTTCCTTCTACGGATAAGCATAGTTACCTTTTCTCTGTACAGATTGTCTGACTTCAGTTTGAAGAGTTTAAACTTTGCCAGTATTTCAAAAACTGAATCTGGGTATATAAATTGTCATGTATAGCTTAATGGTGTATTCGTTCTGACACACACACCATTATGTAATTTAGTTGTTGTGCAATTATAGAGTGTACTTACACAATCTTATATGGTATAGACTACTACCACCTAGGTGCTGTGGTGTAGACTTATAATCTTACAGGGTTATTATTTGACATGTGGTCTATTGTTGATTGAAACATGTTCATGTGGCACTTTTGACTATTTTCATTTATACCCATCTCTTCATGGGAAGGTGTATATACACAATGTGTGTGTGTGTGTGTGTGT